TTCACGTCAGGGTGGGTAAAGGATCCCATGGTGTTGAATAAAGAGGAGATAAACTCCGTCATCATAGGAGGGAAACGACATCAGCTAATTAACACAGATGTGAACAATGCTGGCCTTTAGATCACTTTAGCTGATGTTATCAGAGAGATGAACAGTCGTCCCCCTAACGGAGCTGCAGACAGCCGGTATAACTTTACTCTCTGTTTCTGATTTAAATGAGGTTTGAATGGAGAAACATAAGCGTTAAATATCAGACTGAATGTCGTGGGTCGGAAAATGACGTCGTGTTTCGACAGACGTGATTCTGTAAGTTTGCTAGTGCAGTTAGTTCAGAGTTCAGCTCCAGTCCTGAAACCCCTGCACTGCATAACTGTGGTTTCCTGGTTAAAATACCTGATATTATTAGCTAATTAATCCCTTCTTGAGCTGAACGAGGTGTGAACAGCAGAGAGAGACACTAAACTGTACAGTCCAGCGGCTCCAAACCTGGAGTGAAAACACTGAATTAAAGGTCTGTGTGTCTCTCGTCTCTCGGCTTCTGTCGAGTCTCACAGGTGAATCATTCACAAAGCACAGCAGATTGAGGGCGTCGCGCAGCGCAGTCACCCCCTGATTCGGTCCTCAACATGGAGGCGACTATACAGTGTGACGTCACAGGAAACGAGAGAATATATCTTTCACGCCTTGTTCAATAAGGAGCACTTCTTGTAACGGAATCATGGCCTCCACTGTGCTTCTTTTACTGTTGATGCCGCAATATGAACGTGGTGTAATGACAACAAGGGTATGTTAGGAAACATGATCAAGCCTGAAGACCGTTACCGCACCTTTAAGGGTGAATTTACATCATTTGTCCCTTTGGTGCACAAAAATGTTCATACGCTGAACCTTTTTTCTAACAACAACAGACATTTTTGTTAATATTCACCTTAAAATGTAAAATACAGAGTGATTCAAAAAGATTCATTCAATTTCACTCTTAAATCATTACAGATCAATGCAGTAAACTGTAAATGGTTTAAATGAGCATAATGTTTATTCTGTAATTGTACAAGGTCTCAGTATGAACCTCCTCCAGCTGTACAGACAACATCAACACCATAGTCAAATTCATCCCATACTGGATTGAGCATGTCGGGTGTCGCTGCACTCACGGCTCTTTCAGTGCGATTTCGGGGATCATCCAGTGTTGTGGAACCAGCGACGAACGCTCTGAGCTGTTGGAGCTTCACTGTCCACGAAAATCACACTGCACAGTTATGACTGATTCACTCTTATTGAAGTGGAGAACGCAGAACGCTTTCTGCTCAGGGGTCTCATCTCCCCTCAGACTGAAGGGAGCCATCTTCCACTGACAGTCAGAAACTCTATGAGCCCCTCTTTCAATTGGATTGTGATTGGTTCCTCGGCACCTAACGGCTGTAAAAATATGCCGCTTTGAAATCGGATGAATCTTTTTGAATCACCCTGTACTGAACTAGAATAGTGCATTTCCTGAAGAAAATGCAGAGTGATTGCACAGTTGCTAAGGTGTTGCTAGGCAGTTGCTATGATGTATGGATTGTTTACTGGGTGGTTTTTAGGTGGTTGCCAAGTGGTAGCTATGTGTTGTTGAAAATGAATGGGAGTCTAGTTAGAGCTTGGGGACCTGTCCTGCTTGGGTGAGGGCCAAAATGAATGGGACTCTATGGGAGGAACGAGGAAAGAAAAAAATGACAAACAGATGAATGCAGGTGAGAACAACATTGGATTCGTGCTCGGGGGCCTGCACTGAGACAGTATATTCGAAAGAGTGTCTTTCGGTCAAGCAGAAGCAATTTTTTACCTCATTCATTCCTATGGGGAAAAAAATTGTAATTTAACGAAGATTGTACGAAAACTGTATGTCAGATCAAAAAGCTGTACACAGGCACACCATCACTAGTTAATAAAAAAGGTTAGGGATGTTTCTGTGCTGCTGTATTGTAGGTGTGGGTCCGTGTGGAGCTCCTGTCAGAGCTCAGAGAGGCAGAGGACTGAACTATCTTACTCTGTAATCATAAAGGCTGCAGCATCAATATGAGGGGACACACTTGTGAGTCTGCGGCTGTTGAATGAACAGCGAGTAACAAAATGTTCACCAACCCGAAGCCAAGGATCTCATATATCACAGTAACGTCCTCCGCTCAGCATTTTACGCTTAAAACATAAACAAAATGCTGAGGGCTGAGGGCTGAGTGATGATCACAGCAGCTACAAACTAATAACTCACTCGAGTACATGACTAACAAGCATCATACAGGCCGTGACAGTTAGGCCCAGTCCCATTTCTCATTTTTACCCCTACCCCTTGTTTTCGAGTGTCTCCTTGTTCCTTAGAACTGAGTTATAGGGTAGTGGTTGAAATCCTCCCTCTGAAACGGGACCCTCAAATAAAAAGAGCATCACTTCATTAACAGCTACCAGCGCTGCTCTGTAGGCGACCCTGCCAGTCTGCAGTGACAGCAGAGGAGGGTAAAGTTCAGCTCCTCACTGCTGGGCTTTAGTTACATTTAGGGCATCATATGCCTTCAAAGAGGGGGGCAATTATTTATTATCACCCACCCCTAATTCTTCAGTGATATGAAGCTGAAGTCAGATATTCGCCAGATTCTCGTTCAAATTTAGTTAGCTAGCTACCAAGACGTCAGGTACCTCTAACGATTTTAATGTCTGTTATGAAGAAAAGGACCATAATGCACTGAAACAACATGAAACTAATATAATATGATGATTATCTGAATTTTAAACTGAGAAAATATTTACATTTGTGGGTTTCTTTGGTCTCTTGTTCAGCTGCCTGGTCGGCATTTTTTCTCATAAGACTCCGTTTGGAGGGCCGTGTAGCCCCAACACTTCACCCTCCCCCTCTACCTCACTGTTTGGCATTACTGCTACTGACCACTGATTGGTTAGCATTATTGCTACTGAGCACTGATTGGTTAGCATTACTGCTACTGAGCACTGATTGGTTAGCATTATTGCTACTGAGCGCTGATTGGGTGGCATTACTGCTACTGAGTGCTGATTGGGTGGCATTACTGCTACTGAGCGCTGATTGGTTGGCATCACTGCTACTGAGTGCTGATTGGGTGGCATTACTGCTACTGAGTGCTGATTGGTTAGCATTATTGCTACTGACCACTGATTGGTTAGCATTATCGCTACTGAGCACTGATTGGGTGGCATTACTGCTACTAAGTGCTGATTGGTTAGCATTATTGCTACTGAGCACTGATTGGGTGGCATTATTGCTACTAAGTGCTGATTGGTTAACATTATTGCTACTGAGTGCTGATTGGTTAGCATTACTGCTACTGAGCACTGATTGGTTAGCATTACTGCCACTGAGCGCTGATTGGTCAGCATTACTGCCACTGAGCGCTGATTGATTGGCATCACTGCTACTGAGTGCTGAATGGTAAGTATTACTGCTACTGAGTGCTGATTGGTTGGCATCACTGCTACTGAGTGTTGATTGGTTGGCATCACTGCTACTGAGTGCTGATTGGGTGGCATTACTGCTACTGAGCACTGATTGGTTGGCTGACATTACTGCTACTGAATGCTGATTGATTGGCATTACTGCTACTGAGTTGCTGATTGGTTGGCATCACTGCTACTGAGTGCTGATTGGGTGGCATTACTGCTACTGAGTGCTGATTGGTCAGCATTACTGCTACTGAGTGCTGAATGGTAAGCATTACTGCTACTGAGCACTTATTGGTTAGCATTACTGCTAACTTATGCATCTTATGGCCAACAATTACTGAGCTCATGTTACAATGGAACATTAAAGTTAGTGAGCAGCTTCATTAATTAAATATTTAACATTAATGTGAGCTTTTTCCAATCAGGTCAGGTCAAGTCAAATTTTATTTATCTAGCACTTTTTACAACAGTCGTTGTCAAAGAGCAGCTTTACAGAAAATCTGAGTCCAATCCCCAGTGAGCATCGCCAAGGGCGACAGTGGCAAGAAAATCTCTCAAAAGCAAGAGGAAGAAACCTTGAGAGTTAAATCCATGAATGTCAATGACTGCAGTTAAAAGCCTGTAATGATGGTTTGATAATATGAATAAGAGAGGAGCTCAGTGTATTGTGAGGCAGGTGAAGCAATTTCTGTGATGAAATAGTTCAAGTCTGAATACAGCAGCATAAGCAGGAGGGTCAGTTCATGCAGGTGAGGCTTTCTGCACTGGACAGCAGGAAGATCCACGGTCAGGGGTCGCAACCCAAATGTTAAGAAGAGCAATTTTGTCCTTTCATCAAACCACCCTGAGAGCCACAAAATATTGTGTCCATTTTATTGAAATAACGTTTTACCATCTTGGCTGTAAATGTGTCTCAGTATATGCTGACGTACCAGTATAGGATAAAAAATATAATATAGATGAAAACACAGACTTACTTTGCTCTGCTTTAAGCTTTAGCTCAGCTATAGCTGCTTTTCTCACATCTCCAGCAGGAAACTTTTCCTCAAAAGTAGAACAGTTTCTTGTAAAATGTCTCTCAACTTTCGACTTTTTCCGAGGCTGAAGTCGCTTCTCATTTGCCAGCTTCTTCCTCAAATTTTCCTTACCAGTCTAGAAGAAACGTTGCGAGTTCAGCATTAAACTTCATCCCTTTACTCACCAGGAGCTTCAGCGTTGGAAAGCAGCGTCAGTGCTAACTCTCGTTTTGCTTCTGGTTATTCTATGTCACTTCATCTTTTTCCTGCTGAACGTGGTTTCTTGCCGGGAGTGGGCGGCAGTGGTAATAATGGTCATCAAGAGTTTCAGCCATCATCGCTGTTTACTGTTCCTTTCATTGGCTACCTGTCCTTAAATGATCTAAATGGGGGCGGGACCTTCAACATGATTGGCAAGACTAGAAAACGCCCTCGGGGCAGTGCTGCTTCTTCATCCTCTCATGTTAGACTGATGTAGACTCTACGCTACATTGACTCACTATCGCCTCTTGAGGTGCAAAGTGGTAATACGAGATGTCGGGTCAGGGCTAGCTGGTTACTGTGCTAACTTCAGTAGATATCTCTGCAACACGATGCACAGACGTCTTTGACATAACGTCAAAATGGTTGTTTGATCGTTTTAGATAATTTTGAAATGTTTTGAACTAAAATTCGTACAAATTGTACCAGATAAACAAATTAGCTTGTCCACTTTTAGAGCTGCTACCTATAAAACAAGCTAATTTAATTAATTTTAGTCTGTACCATAAACTTATTTAAGATATAGTAAAGCTGTAATCAAATTACATAAAGTACTGTAATTACACCACATAATTAAAAAATACCCAAGGAGAGCATTTTGACTGATTTCTTTTCTATCTTTTATCACAGCATCACATTCTTACTACTGTCCACACTGTCGTCTCCTTAAGTGACAAATTTCACAAAAAAAGACAGCTTTCAGGAAGTGACGTCACAAAAGAAATGATACCTTTCAGGAAGTGACGTCACAAAAGAAATGATACCTTTCAGGAAGTGATGTCGTCCCCAGCTATTGACGTGCAGTCGATTGGCAAATCAATGTTAGTGTGAAATGCTGTTAGCTCAGTGCTAACCTGCTATAGAGTCCCCTAGGGGCGCTAGAAGAAAACATTTTTTTTTAATAAATTTTGACATTTATGGCCCAAACTGTGTCATATTAGATAGTGTTATATTTAGACAGACTGTGTTATATTTAGATAGACTGTCATATTTAGATAGACTGTCATATTTAGATAGACTGTTATATTTAGATAGACTGTCATATTTAGATAGACTGTGTTAGATTTAGATAGACTGTGTTATATTTAGATGGACTGTTATATTTAGATAGACTGTGTTATATTTCGATAGACTGTTATATTTAGATAGACTGTGTTAGATTTAGATAGACTGTGTCATATTTAGATAGACTGTGTTATATTTAGATAGACTGTGTCATATTTAGATAGACTGTGTTAGATTTAGATAGACTGTGTCATATTTAGATAGACTGTGTTATATTTAGATAGACTGTGTTATATTTAGATAGACTGTGTCATATTTAGATAGACTGTGTTATATTTAGATAGACTGTCATATTTAGATAGACTGTGTTATATTTAGATAGACTGTCATATTTAGATAGACTGTCATATTTAGATAGACTGTGTTATATTTAGATAGACTGTCATATTTAGATAGACTGTGTTATATTTAGATAGACTGTCATATTTAGATAGACTGTGTTATATTTAGATAGACTCTGTCATATTTAGATAGACTGTGTTACATTTAGATAGACTGTGTTATATTTAGATAGACTGTGTCATATTTAGATAGACTGTGTTATATTTAGATAGACTGTGTCATATTTAGATAGACTGTGTTATATTTAGATAAACTGTGTCATATTTAGATAGACTGTGTTATAGATAGACTCGTATATTTAGATAGACTGTGTTACATTTAGATAGACTGTGTTATATTTAGATAGACTGTGTCATATTTAGATAGACTGTGTTATATTTAGATAGACTGTGTCATATTTAGATAGACTGTGTCATATTTATGTGTGTGTTTCTGTGTGAACAGACAAGTGAGCCCTAAAGCCATGCAGGCAGACACACAACACAAATACTGGAATCTCTTTCTCCCTCCCTCTCTCCCAATCTCTCTCTCTCTCTCTCTCTCTCTCTCTCTCTCTCTCTCTCTCTCTCAGTATTAGCTGTATGAGTTTCAGTCATTTCCATCTACAGTGTGTGGGGATGCTTTTAAAAGTCTTTCGAAGTTTCCCTGTCTGTGTGTGTGTGTGTGTGTGTGTGTGTGTGTGTGTGTGTGTGTGTGCGTATGTTTTTCTTCAACAGAAGTCTGCTTCAACAGCCCAAAGGAAAACCCACAGAGCGAGAGAGAGGTAGAGAGATACAGAGAGAGAGTGGTAGAAAGATACAGAGAGAGTGGTTGAGAGAGGTAGAGAGATACAGAGAGAGAGAGAGAGAGAGGTAAAGAGATACAGAGAGAGAGAGTGGTAGAGGGAGGTAGAGAGATACAGACAGAGTGGTAGAGAGAGGTAGAGAGATACAGAGAGAGAGAGAGACTGAACGTAGCTGAATTGTGAGCCGTAATGAACTCTAACGGGACACTGCTGTGCACTAATTGTTTCTTTATCTGTGTAAAACACTCCATACAGTGGATCTACAGAGCGGCCGTGTCTCACAGAGCGGGCAGTGAGTGTGTGTTTGCGCGTGGTGTGTATAAAGTGTTCTTTCTGATCTTCTAGCGGTGGTTCTTCAGACGGTGATGCTGCACCACACCTGAGCCCCCTTTGAAGTTCTTTAAAGTTCTCCGCTGCTCGGCCGGTAATCAGAGCAGCGCAGAGTTTCGGTCGGCTCTGCTTTTCTCGAGGACCGTTCGCTCTTTCAGACGCTGGGTTTATCTCTGTTGACGTGAGACTGGATTCTGAGTTCCACGTTGAATTTTGTCTGGGTTCTGTCAGGAATACCTGGCAACCCTCGGCGCCTCTGATCTGGGAGGGCGGGGTTTCAGTTTTCTGAAAACTGAAAAGTTTCCTAGATGTTTACGGACTCACATCTTGTTGAAAGTGACCTCACAAAAGCACTGATACCTTTCAGGAAATGACCTCACAAAAGAAATACCTTTCAGAAAGTGATGTCACAAAGAAACGATACTTTAAAGGAAGTGATGTCACCTTGCAGAAAGTGACATCACAAAATTTGCAGGAAGTGACTTCATAAGGGACAAGCTGCCTTGACCCCACACAGGAAGTGATGCGGTCGTGAGGCCGGGAGGTCACGTGAGTGGTGGCAGGGAGGCGACAAACAAAAACGACTTCCATCAGTCATGTGACCTACCGGCATCACGAACTCTGACCTCCAGAAATCACCACGGCAACAGAATACAGAAACTGTTTCCGTAGCAACTGGTGTCTGTTTGTTGTTTGTTTATGTTATCTGAGTTTAATTAACTAACCCTCAATCTGTGTTTGATAGTGTCACTGCTCAAAGGGCAATTTCACCGATTTATCAAAATTCCCCCATTATTTCCTGTTTGAGATGTAAACAGAGTGATTCAGAGTGGTTTGGTGTGAAATGGTTCAGGGTCTTTACAGTGGTGGTGATAGGAACAAGGCGTCGCCATGACTACAACACAGATATAGACATTTTATTTACTATCCAAAACCACCAGTGAACCTACACGAGTCTTCTGAGTTTATATGGAATGTTGATGATGGAAAGTAGTGGAAAATCTGAAATAATAAGTTTTCTTTAGGGACTATTTTGCCTCACAGCACCCAGCATATTATATATCCCTCCACCATGAATGGAGTTTAAAGCCAAAATGTTCTCAAAACAATCATAAAACAGTGTCTCAGTCATCAGGCAGTGAATTCATAACCATTTCATGTAGTAACTTTCTGTGAGGGAGCTTTTAGAGGCGGACGTCTGGTTCCTATCACCACCACTGTGAACAGTTCTGACTCTCTAGAATGGAGCGTTTCACACCAAACCACTCTGAACGTCTCTGTTTACATCAAAACTATTTAATCACACAACATTTTCGAAATATTGGTGGGGTTCCCCTTTCAGATCACTCTGAGATGTGAGGAGTGAGTGAGTGATGATGTGAGTGCTGTGTCTGTGTGTAGACTCTCCGGGTGTAGACGTGTGCCCTCTGGGTCAGTTCCCCTGCGGGAATCTGTCGGTCTGTTTACCGCAGCTCAAACACTGCAATGGTCACCAGGACTGTCCAAACGGAGCGGACGAGGAGAACTGCGGTGAGTGCGGTTAAAGGGCCGATACCCTCCACTGTGTTGTATTTTCTATCTGAGGTCACTCAGAACGTCTGTGTGGTTTAATTTATGAGCCAAAACACACAAACAGCATGAGTAAAAACAGTGGTGCAGTATTTCAGCCCTTTAATTAAAAAACAAGTTTTGCAAATTCAGTATTTACATTTTTCCACCAAAAACATCTTGTTTACTAGTTTATTCTCGTTTATTCTGACCGTCTGTTCTCACTGCGTGTTTCAGTGGATAACAGCGGATGGCCCCACCTGTTTGATGCCTTCATGAAGACCAGAGTTCAGGAGCCAGAGGAATGCAGTGAGTCTCTCTCTCTCTCTCTCTCTCTCTCTCTCTCTCTCTCTCTCTCTCTCTCTGTCTCCCTCCCTCTCACTCTCTCTCTCCTCTGTTTCTTTTTCTCTCCTATCTCTCTCTCTCTCCTTTCTATCGCTTTATCTCTTTCTTTCTCTCTCTTCTATTTTTCTCTTTCTTTCTCTCCCTCTCTCCTCTCTGTCTCTATTTCTTTTGCTCTCTCTCTCTCAGTTCCCCCTTCTCTGCCTCTCCCATTCTTTCTCTCTGTCTCTCTCTCTCCTCTGTCTCTCCTCTCTTTGTCCTTTCTATCTCTTTATCTCTCTTTTCTCTCTCCCTATTTCCCTCTCTCCTCCTCTCTGTCTGTCTCTCTCCGTCTCGCCCCTCTCTCTCTCCTCTCTATCTGTCTCCTTCTCTTCCTCTCTCCTCTCTTTCTCTCCTCTCTCTTTTTTTTACTATCTCTCTTCTCTGTCTCTTTTCCTCTCTCTCTCTCTCCTTTCTATCTCTTTATCTCCTTTTTTCTCTCTCTCTCCTTTCTCTCCTCACTCTGTCCTTTCTCTCTTTATCTCTATCTTTTCTCTCTACCTATCTCCCTCTCTCCTCCTCTCTGTCTGTCTCTCTCAGTCCCCCCCTCTCTCTGTCCTCTCTATCTCTTTTCTCTCTCTCTCAGCCCCCTTCTCTCTCTCTCTTTCTCTTTCTCCTCTCTCTTTGTTTTTCTCTCTCCTCTCTTTTTCTCTTTCTCTCCTATCTTTTTCTTTTACTCTGTCTCTTTTTATCTCTCTCTCATCTCTCTCTCCTTTCTATCTCTTTATCTCTTTCCTTTTTTCTCTCTCCTTTCTATCTTTCTCTCTCTCTCTCTCTCTCTCTCTCTATCTCTCTATCTCTCTCTGAGTTCGGTCTCTGATTAAAGGCTGTTTCCTCTCTGATGTAAACAGTGTTTTCTGTGTAATTTTCAAAGGAAGATTGAAGTTCAGATGTTGTTTTGTGAAGCGAGTCAAATATTTTCAGCAAAACATAATGAACTGACCTCACAGTGACCGCTAGACAGGATGCTTCCTTCAGCTGCTCTACTGGAAGATCACAGTTATATGGGAACGCTCTGTTAGGGTTTTATTAGTGGGTAGTTGTTGTGTTATTAATGGATAGTTAATGTGTTATTAATGTTAATAATTTGATGCAACAGAACACAAACATGCACTGAAACACATCAGAGACAGAGACGGACAGATGAGGAAAGAAAAGAGTAAAGAGGAAAAGCAGAGAAAAACGAGGCCAATAAAAACACTACCTGGAAAAAGAGATGGATACATAGACAAAGAGAAGGGAGAGAGAGACAGGGAAAGAAAGAACGAAAGAAATAGAGGAAGAGTAAGAAAGAAAGAAAGAAGAAAGAAAGAAAGAAAAAAGAAAAAGTCTGATAAAAAGTGGAGAGAGAGATAGAAAGAAAGGAAGAGGTGGAAAAAGGAGGAAAGAGAGAAACAGATAAATAGAAGAGAGGGGGAGAGGTAGAGAGATAAAGATGAATGTGGGATAGAGAGAGACAAGGGAGAGGCAGATATAGATTAGAGTGAAAAAGAGATAAAGAGGAGAGGGACAGAAAGAGAGAGAAAGAGATAGAGAGGTGAGAGTGATGGAAAGAGAGAGAGAAAAGGAGAGGATGAGAAAGAAAGAAAGAAAGAAAGAAAGAAAGATGTTGAGAGATAGAAAAAGAGTTAGAAGAGGGGGAATAGAGTAGAACAGAGAAAGGGACACAGGAGAGAGGGAGAAAAAGAAAAGAAAGAAGACAGAGACAGAATAAGAGAGAGAGAGAGAGAGAGAAGAGAGAGAGAGAGAGAGAGAGGACAGTAAAGCGCAGCGCTGTTGTTTACCAGTCTGATGTTACACTGAGAGAATCCGACTTATCTCGCGAGATAAAAATAATGGGTTTATACAGTGAGTTAAAATTCTGTCCTGTTTTATATTCTACAGTTTCAGTGTTAGTCTGTACAGACCGATTCCCCTGAGTGACACTCCGCACTCTGTGCGCTCAAATTTTCTTGATAAAGTGCACTTTAGGGTGCAGAAGAACAGCGGATTTAAATTCTTTACAAAAAAAAATAATAATAACAATCTACAGCATCAACAGTGAAGGGTACAGCATGACAGTGCAACAACTGCAAGCACAGACCTCAAAGTAGACAGGGAAATAAAGGAGATCAGCAGCAAAAACACAAAGAAATAACAAAACCAACGCAGCAGAAAATTAAACTACATCCAGCAAGTACCTCGGCCCTGTTCACTCTGGGTATTAGAGGTCTGCACTCCTGTGGGATTCTCGCTGGACCCATCAGACCCACCACAGTCGTCTTGCGTAGTAGGACCCATTTTCAGTGCTGTGTGCAGGAGCGGGCGGGAAACCAGCCCACTGCAGGCAGGGGCGGGACAAAACATGCATGAAGAAAAGTCCCACAAGTTAATGAACAGCCTAAATAAAGTAGAACAATCACTAAAATGTTTATACAAACAGTGTAAAATGATAACAGTAAAACAATTAAAATGAATGAAGTCGTTCTAAAGAGTTGCGAGGCTTACAGAGACAGCGGAGCCTTCAGTCCGACGGCCACAGCTGCCCAGCAAAACACCAACAATAACCGCTCTGTGGTTTAATTCCTGCTTTTTGTGTAGTTACTTCACAGTGAGCCTGATGACCACAACTGCTGTGTTATTTCAGCGGAGAATAATGTGTTTGTGAATCGACTGTGTCAGATATTGGATGTTGATAGGCAGGTGGGAGCGGGACTAAACGTTTCGGTTGCGGGTGGAAGCGAGACAAATGATTCTGATTTTCTGCAGGAGTGGGCACAGACCCCTACTCGGTATTGACATCCATTTTGAATGATCTGATCATAAGTGGACAGTGGGATGAGTAGCCATTCTGGCATATAACATGAGAAAATATTATCATAAGTGATCAGTCTAATGTCAACATTAGAACAATTTAACCTAAGAGCCAAGTCTAACATTAACATAAGAACTAGCTAACAGAAGACCTTAGCTGTAGCACAGCCTGTGCTACCCTGGGCTCAGGAAGGATCCTGGAGGCAGGGCTGAAGGTCGCAGCAGCCATTTTAAGAACAGTTAGTTCTGGCCATGCAAGCTGATTGGTTGAGAAGCGCAAACACTGTATCACTCCACTAAGACGCCGCTGCTAAGCAATGACTTTGACAGCTGTAGGAGACGCTCAAGCCATTTGAACATTTTTACTTCTTACTTTGCCACAAACAGAAAACGGACACTTTTAAGATCACATTTGACCGACAGCCGATTTGGTCAGACTCTGAAGATGAGACGACACTAAATTCCCAAACTGTCATCACCACTGAGGAGCTTTTCAGTCGGCAGCTGTGACAGAAGAACAGCTAAACAACCTGGAATCAGCCAGAAATGAACCCAACACCATTCACCAAACTAAATGGGCTGTAAGATGCTTTACAGACTGGCTGGAACAAAACAACATTAATACTGATCTGGCAAAAAACGACAAAACTGAGCTGAACTTGATATTGCGTCAGTTTTATGGCTCAGTCTGATTTGGTCAGACTCTGAAGATCAGACTACACGTTTGGCGAATGGTTTTGGGTTATTTCTGGCTGATTCCAGGTTGTTTAGCTGTTCTTCTGTCACAGCTGCCGACTGAAAAGCTGCTCAGTGGTGATGACAGTTTGGGAGTTTAGTGTAAGGAGCTGGAGAACGAACTGCCGGCTGTGCAGCGAGTGGGCGGAGCTTGTTACTCTGACGTAGCAACAAGCTGCTTGTTAAGGAACTATAATTTGGTGAAGGAACTGTGAACATTAAAACATATTAAACGCCGCGTTCACGGCCCAGTTTATTAATTTACTACTTTATTTATTTAACTGTTGTGTAAAAGCAATAGAACACTCGAGGAGTGTGTTATCGCCAATAACATCATGGCTGTGATGATCTACGGCGACCAAATCACAGCCGTGATGTTATTTCGTGATGACACACTCCCTCTCGGGTTCTATTGCTCACAAACACAAACAAATTGCACCAAATCAAAACCAAAGCTGGCCACTGCTGCTCGTCCCTCTCAGCTCTTTTTTTAAAGGCACTCATGCTGCCGTTACCAGATCAGCATCAGCTGGCCTTTTTAGGGGGAGCGTGAGCACCTGAGCCGAGAGGGACAGAAAGCTCGTTGCTCCGCCTCCCCGTCACCGCCTCTGCGCCGCAGCTCGTAGGCCTGGATCGAACATGAGGTGTAGTCTGGCAGCCTTGCTGCAGGACAGTAGGCGGGGCCTGGGTGTCCCGCCTTCGTGCCTCTCGTAAACACCCCTCACCACTTTGGCAGCTCGTGTCCCTCAGCGGTATTCAGGATTCGGGCCCCGCCATCCCACTTTCTCTCCCAACTGTCATCAGGGTCCAGGGGACAAGTGCATGGCACACTAGCCTGATGATAACTTAAGAACTAGAGCCTAGCCTAATGCTAAAACTAGCTGTACAATATAATAATACAAATAAACAGTCTGTTCCAGCATGACTGAGCCCCAGTGCACAAAGTGAGCTCCATAAAGACATGGTGTGACGAATCTGGTGTGGAGGAACTCCAGTGGCCTCCACAGAGCCCTGACCTCAACCCCATTGAACACCTTAGAAATGAACCCGAACACTGATTGTGAGCCAGACCCTCTCGTCCAACATCAGTGTCTGACCTCACAAACGCTCTTTTGACTAAATGGGCTCAAATTCCCACAGACACACCCCGAAATCTTGGAAAGATTTCCAGAAGAGTGGAAGCTGTTGGAGCCGCAAAGCAGGGAAACTCCATATTAATGCCTGTGGTTTTGGAATGGGACGTCCAACGAGCTCATATAGGTGTAATGACCAGGTGTCCAGATTCTTTTGGTCATACAGTATATGTATATAGATACATATCTGCCTAGGGCCTCCTGAGGTCCCGCAATGCCCCCCAGAAGACTGTACAGGTCAATAATGTAATTAACAGCAGTTGAACTGTATAAATAATTTACATTAATCACTCAGTAATTAACATTCAGCAATATATTCAATACCCAGAGTCTCCTGGGTCAGCGCTAACGACTGTGTGTGTGTGTGTGTGTTTCAGTGCTGGATGTGTATCCTGATGTGTGTTTCTGCGCGGGCTGGAAGGTGAACTGTAATGGTAAACATCTGCAGCAGGTTCCAGCTGTGTCCTCCAACGTTACTGCACTGTGAGTCTCGTATCTCATTCAGCTCATTTAAAGCTGCACTGCATAAGCTTTGGGGATTTGGAGACCCCTCTGGTGGAAATGTGTTACTGCAGCTTTAAATCAACAGGCAGAAGCACACAGTCTATATTAATACAGTCCTGCTGCACTAACACTAACCTTCCTCCTTTACTCTTTCTTTCTTTTTTCCTTCATCCTTTCATCTTTTCTTTGTTTTCTCTTGCCTGTTCCCTTTCCTCTTTTTCACTTTTCTTTTTACCCCTTTCTTGTCATAATTTCTTTCTCATTTCCCTCCTTTTTTCCTTTTCTTTTAATCCATATTCTTTTCCTGAACTCACTTCCTTACTCTTTTCTTTGCATCACATCTTCCCCTTTTTTTTCCTCTTTTTGTTTTCTTTGCCCTTTTACTTTCTTTTCTTTCTCCCTTCTTTTTTCCTCTTTTCTTTCCTTCTTTTGCCCCTTTTTCCTTTCATCCCTTTTTATTTTCTTTGCTCTTTAAATTTGTCTTTGCTTTGCCTTTTTTTCCTTTTCTCCCTTTCCTTTTTCTCTTTCCTCATTTCTTCTCTGCCTGTCTTTCTTTCCTTTTCTTTCTCTCTCCTCTCCGTCACAGAGAGCTGAACAGTAACGGTCTCGTCTCTCTTCCTGCTGATCTGTTCATCCGCTACAGACGACTGGAGAGACTGTGAGTGACGCAGCTTTCCTTCATCCCTCCATCCTCACACTCATCCTCCTTCACGATCCCTCACTCTCTTTCTCTTATTCTCTCTTTCTCTCATTTTCAGTAACAGATGGACTGACTCTGACTGTCTGACCTCTCTTCAGCAGCAGTTATTCGTTTTTCTTCTTTTCATTCCTCTGTTCTCATTTTATTTTCCTTCTGTCCTTTCTTCACTCTTTCACGCTAACCTCATTTGTTTCCCTCCTTTCTTCTCCATTTTCTTCACTCTTTCCTCTTATCTCTTCATTTGTTTCCCCTTTTCTCTCTTTTCCTCTCACTTCATTTGTTTTCCTCTTTTCATTTCTATTTTTCTTCATTTTTCCTCTTATCTCTTCATTTGTTTTTCTCTTTTCTTTACTCTTTCCTTTTCTTTCATCTTTCCTCTTCCTGTCTTCTTTTTTTTCCTTTTTCTTACCTCTTTTCCGCTTTACTTTTTGTTTTCTTTCTTCTTTTTGTATACATTAGTCCAGGACTCTCCGTCATCCAGTGTTTGTCTCTCAGCGGAGCTCTCAGTGTTCTTATCAGCTGGATTGAGCTGTTAGTAGTTTTATTGTTATTGGTTTTGTTATTAAATGCTGAGCTCACTGGGGTCAGACCTGCGTTGTGCTTTGTTTGAGTTTAATTAGAGAGAATAAGTGCTGATCTCGGCTGCATTGTTCCTCATGAGAGGCCTTTTCTTCCTCGTGTATTTATTTCCTGCTGAAACGAGAGCGTCGTTTCAGTGTGTCTATAAAAGACGATCCCCAACACTCTGCGTTTGTTCATTCCTGGGCTGTTGCCACTTTGGGAGGAAGCTAATAGGAGACAGTAAACACGGACATTTTTGCCAGCTTTCTCTTGTGTATGTTTTCTACAGTGATGCACTCTGAACTGATGGCTTCTGGCACTTAGAGGATGCGATCTGATTGTGGGGCAGCTCATTCGAGAGCGTGTCCGTTGCAGGTGATATTGTGCCATAGATGCTCTTAGAAATCTGGAGATAAAGAGGCTGCTGCAGCAACAAAACAGAAAAACCGAACCAGAAGATAGCATAAGATAAGATAGCATGGGCTAATCTGCAGGCTTTTTGTGAAGTGCTCTTGTAGCCAGATTGAAGCTGCTCTTCAGAGTTCTAGCTGGTGTTTTAGAGCCGTTCTTCATGTTTGATCTAGTATTGATGTGTATTCTGGCACGTCGCAGCAGCAGGATTTGTGGTCCAGCCGCAGAACAGTTCACAGGCTGGTCAAAGTCTCAGTGTGGGTAAAAGCCAATTAGCTGCACAATTTAAAAAAAGGGATGTTTGGCTCCCAAGTAGTGCAACCATCTAAGTCAGGGGTCGGCAACATGTGGCTCTGGAGCAACATGCACGTCTTTTACTGTCCTGTTGTGGCTCCACAGCAGAATTAGATTTGTAGGTAAAAATAAAATAATCCTCCTTTACAGTAAAATAAAGCTCTGCTGATCGTTCAACACAGTTTAACAATAAATGGTCTTAAACTCTGGAGTTAATGTAGAACTGCTAATTCACCCTTTAACCCTGAAGATCAGCACAGACTGCTGGTCACCATAGCAACGCAGACAACAATCTCGCCTAGCTAGTAGATAACAAAAAGGCTAAGAGAGAGATTTAAGATGAACATTGATAATTTGGAGACGAATGGACTTATTTGCATTTCTCATGAAGTCAGTTTCTCATTCGCCAGCTTCTTGTTTGAATTCTCCCGCTCCACCTTAAATGTTTGCAGCAATTATATTCTGGCCCCTCAGACACCATTTAAGATGGAACAGAAAATTCAAACAAGAAGCGACTTCAGCCTCGTAAAAAGTTGAGAAACGTTTTCCAAGAAACTGTTCTACTTTTGAGCAAAAGTTTCCTGCCGGAGATGCGAGAAAAGCAGCTGTAGCTGAGCTAAAGCTTAAAGCAGAGTAAAGTAAGTCTGCGTTTTCATTTCTATTATAATTTTTAGCTTAAGCTAGTAGCCATATTTGAGACATATTTACAGCCAAGATGGTAAAATATGGCATAAAATGTTGTGGCTTCCAAGGTGGTTTGATTTTTGTTGAAAGGACAAAATGCTCTTCTTAACATTTGGGTTGCGACCCCTGGTCTAAGGCCCTGTCATCAGGTTGCGAGTTCGATCCCCAGTGATGTTGCAGCCGTTCAAGGCCAGGAATCCTAGGGTGTGTCCTAATTCAGGGGCTGCATCCTTCAAAAGCTGCATAGACCAAATTGTGACAGTCTGCTCTACGTTGCATCACAAAACGCCGTTCCTTATTTTAAATTTCTTTAAACTTTGATTTTAGTTTTTACTTTTTCATTTATTAGGGCTGGAGATGCTTCTCTCTGTTGGCTCCCTAAAACAAAACAAAATGTTAGCATAAGTTTTGCTTCAGACCACATTGGCTTTTCTAACATCTGTATCATTCGCTATTCGACTCAGTTTAAACCCAATACTTGCGTTTAAAGTCCCTCCTCAGCCGCTGTTCGCTCCTCTGCTGATGCCACCATCATGTTTTCGAATCCTCGTCGGCACCCAGTGAACCTCAGGACATGTTGGCTGGTGAAGGATCCACCCGTTGGATCCTTCGTTGTCGTGGAAAAGGACACATTTCTCGGCTGCATATGAAGGAGTCTTCGAAATGGGACGGCCTAGTGGCGCCGCTGTGATGCAATCAGCCTTCAAAGGATGCAGGCCCTGAATTGGGACACAGCTCAAGAGAGCACAATTGGCCTCGATAGTTCGAAAAGATATGGTGGCGCTGTATTTGCCTTCACCCTCCTAGCGCTGGTGGTCTCCTCACTAAAAACAAGTCCTAACTACCGGGTGGAATTGGATACAACTAAATTGGAAAGAAAATCTGAAATAATCCCAAAAAAGAGTCGTGTGAGGTTTCTTTAGTAAAGACAATGATTCTGTAAAGAGCCATTAACAGTCAGAGAACCATTCGCATGGTGAAATGGTTCTTCGGACGGATGGAGAATGTGTTGTATATGGTTCTGTGCAGCACCAAGGGTTCTGCTATTGTTATAATGTCAAACTTGCAACAATAGAAGAACCCTTCTTGGTGCTACACAAAGCCATATACAACACATTCTCCATCAGTCCAAAGAACCATTTCACCATGCAAAGAAACTTTTGAGCATGTAAATGGTTCTATGAGTCATGGTACTAAATACAATCAGTTTTATCAAAGAACACTTGAAGAGCCTTATTTTTTAATGTGTAACAGGGTAAACCTATGACTTTGGCCATCCTACGGTTATTAGTGCTGTGGGCTGTGACTTGGCTAGTTAGCAACATGAAACAGCTAAAGGTGATGAATGTATTGTAGGGGATTCTGATTGCTCTGGTTTCCAGAAGGGGCTCTAGAGATGTTGGTATGGAGTTGTTTGGTGTTGTTAATGTTGTTTTTTAGTTTAAAGTCTGTTGTGTGTGTTTTGCTCATGTTTATGTGTTGGGCTGTGGGTTAGTTAGCATGGGTCTGGTGTTTACAGTGAGGAGCTATGACTAGCAGTTACCTTGCCTGCTATCCCCACTGTGTTATGTGGCTTTTACACTTACTGTAGCAGAAATCAAGGCCTTTAGCTGCTGCCCAGGGGTGCTATCCCACTTCTGACACCAAGTGTAGTATCTTGCCAAAGAAGGAGACTCGGGAGAGGCCATGATTTCTGCTAACTGGAGCAAGTGGCATCCGCTACACTGTCAACTGGACATTTATATGTTACATTCACACTTATTTTCTCCTGCACTGATATTCCCTTAGCACTGACATTGAGCTTTCTCTCTCTCTCTCTCTCTCTCTCTCTCTTTTAGGCACCTGGAGAATAACAGAATAGAGCTGATCTCTAAGAGAGCGTTCTCCGGCCTCTTCTCTCTGAGGAAACTGTAAGCAGAAATAAACAAACAAACAAACCAATCAATAAATAAACAGCAGGACAGGTTTTACAGCCTCATGTGTGTATATAAAAAAGAAAGAGGGAAAAAAGGAAAGGGTGCACAAAAGGAGAGCGAAAGAGAGGAACAGAGATAGCGAGGGGTAAAGAGCGAGGAGGAGAGGGGGAAAGAGTGAGAGTGAGGAAAAGAGACTGTAAAAGAGAGGAAGAGAAGGAATTAAGAGATTGAGACATGAGAAGAGAGAGAGGAAGAAAAGAGGGGAGAGGGGGAAAAGGGAAGAGGAGATAGCAAAAGAAAGAAAGAAAAAAGAGGAGTATGAGGTAGAGAAAGAGAGAGAGTAAGGGAAGGGAATGAAAGGGAGAGATAGGGAGAAAGGAGAGATGAAAGAAAGAAAGAGAGAAAGAAAGAAAGAAAGAAAGAAAGACAAAAGAAGAGCATGAGAGAGAAAAAGAGAGAGTAAGGTAGGAAAAAGGGAAGGAAAGAGGGAGAAAGAAAGAAAGAAAGAAAGAAAGAAAGAAGCAAAGAAAGTAGCATGAGGGTGAAGAAGAGAGATAGGGCGAAGGGAAAGAGAGAGAGAGTGTGAGAGAGAGAGAGTGTGAGAGAGAGAGAGTGAGAGAGAGAGTGTGTGAGAGAGAGAGTGTGAGAGAGAGAGTGAGAGAGAGAGTGTGTGAGAGAGAGAGAGATGGTGATCATTAATCTTGATGCCAACACTTTCTCTGCAGCTACTTTAGAACTTTCAGCACGACGCACTGTGCTGATACCATACCTCTCTCTCTCCCTCTCCCTCTCTCTCTCCCTCTCTCTCTCCCTCTCTCTCTCCCTCCCTCTCTCTCTCCCTCTCTCTCCCTCTCCCTCTCTCTCCCTCTCTCTCTCCTCTCCCTCTCTCTCTCCCTCTCTCTCTCCCTCTCTCTCTCCCTCTCTCTCTCCCTCTCTCCCCTCTCCCTCTCTCTCTCCCTCTCTCTCTCCCTCTCTCTCTCCCTCTCTCTCCGTGAGATGTATGTTTGAATGTTATGACAATATTTACCTCTGTCCTGCTGAGTTGCAGCACGTATACACAAACACGCACACACACACACACACACACACACACACACACACACACACACACACACACACACACACCATACATACATTTTTTTATTTCACACTGAATGCACATTATAAATACTACATTGCTGCATTCCATTCACACATCCATCTGTTCTTCCATCCGTCCATCCGTCTGTGGAGAAGATGAGAGAACGTGAAATGCAGTTTACTGAGAATAAAAGGAAAAACATTTTCTTTTTTTCTTCAAGCGTAAATGCAATGCATAGTAATGACCAGACATTTACATATGCGACTCTCTGAAATGAAAACGGCAACATTCTCAAATATCGTATTAAACTAGATTAGATTGGATTAGATTAGATTACTTTTATTGCCCTCTATATTTCCATCAAGATTAGACTGGATTACATTACCTTTAGTGTCCACTGCATCTGTGTCTGGATTACATCATCTTTGTCGTCCTCTATATCGGTGTCTAAATCACACTGTGGAGAAAATGAGAGAATGTAGAATCAGTTTAGTGAGAATAGAAGAAAAACAAACCGCTTTTCTTTTTTCTTCAAGCGTAAATCCAATGCATATTAATGACGTGACTTTTCCATGTGTGAGTCTGAGAGAGATAAACAGCAAAACAGCTACACTTTAAATATTATATTAAATTAGACTGCATTGCATATTTTTATTGTCCTATTTACTTGTATCTAATTTAGATTAGACTAGATTACATTTACTTCATTGTCCAAAATATCTAGATCTAGATTAGATAGGATTAGATTACATGAACATTATTGTTAACTGAATTTATGTCACGTCAGAATATTTCATATTAACTTTAGTGTCTAGATCTATATTAGATCAGATTGAGTTACATTAGATTGGATTGGCTTTATTGTCCACTATGTCCACATCTAGATTAGATTACATTAACTTTATTGTCCATTTTATCTAAATTTAGATTGAGTTACATTAACTTTCTTGTCCATTTATCTAAATCTAGATTAGATTAGATTGGATTAACTTTATTGTCCTTTATGTTTATAATCAGATTACATTCACTATATTGTCCACTATTTATAAGACTAGATTAGATTAAGTTGAATTAACTTTATTGTCCCCTATATCTATATCCAGATTAGATAGGATTAGATTAGCTTTGTTGTCCACTGCATCCATGTCTAGATTAGACTGGGTTAGATTAACTTCATTATTAACATCTATATCTATATTAGATTAATTAGATAAGATTTACTTTGTTGTCTTCTGTTCCTAAATCTAGATTACATTACATTAACTTTATTGTCCACTATATCTAAGTCTATATTAGATTAGATTGGATTAACTTCATTGTTCCCTATATCTATATCCAGATTAGATTACATTAGCTTTATTGTCCAATATATCTAAATCTAGATAAGATTAGATTGGATTAACTTTATTATTTCCTATATCCATATTTAGATCAGATTACATTAACTTATATCCATATCTAAATTAGATTACAGTAATTTTATTGTCCACTATATCTAAATCTAGATTAGATGAGATTGGATTAGTTTTATTGTCCACTACATCCATGCCTAGATTAGATTGGGTTAGATTAATTTCATTATTAACTACATTTATATCTAGATTAGGTTACGTTAATTAGATAGGATTAAATTTATTGTCCATTAAATCTAAATCTAGATTAAATTAACTTTATTGTCCCCTGTATCTAAATCTAGAATAGATTAGTTTGGATTAACTATATTGTCCCCTATATCTATATCTAGATTAGATAAGATTGGATTAACTTTATTTTCCACTGTATCCATATGTAGATTAGATTATATTAACTTTATTGTCCATTATATGTGAATTTAGATTAGATTATATTAACTATATTGATATCACTATATTTATGTACCTAGAATAATTAGATTAAATTAGATTAGATTAGTTTAGATTACAATGGATTATATTGGATTAACTATATTGTTCCCTATATCTAAATCCAGATTAGATCAAATTGGATTAACTTTTTAATTAATTTTCCACTGTATCCATAGGTAGATTAGATTACATTAAATTTATTTGCCACCATATCGATATCAATATATCTATGTATCTAGACTAAATTAGATTAAATTATGTTAAATTAGATTAAATTACAATGGATTAGATTGGATTAACTATATTGTCCCCTATATCTATATCTAGATTAGATAAGATTGGATTAACTTTGTTTACCACTGTCTCCATATGTAGATTAGATTACATTATATTACATTCATTTTATTTGCCACTATATCAATATCAATATAGCTACATATCTAGACTAAATTAGATCAGATTAAATTAGATTAGATAAGATTAGGTTAGATTACAGTGGATTAGATTAAATCAACCTTATCGTCCACTATATGTAAATCTAGATTAGATTGCAAATTAGTTTTATTTGCCACTATATCAACATCAATATATCTATGTATCTAGACTAAATTAGATTAGATTAAATTAGATTAGATTAAATTAGATTAGATTACAAGCAAATAGATTCAATTAATGTTATTGTCCACTATATGTAAATCTAGATTAGATTACATTGATTTTATTTGCCACAATATTGATATCAATATATCTATGTATCTAGACTACATTAGATTAGATTAAATTAGACTAGATTAGATTATATTACAATGGATTAGATTAGATTAACGTTATTCTTAACTATATGTAAACTAGATTATATTATATTAACTTTATTTGCCACTATATGCATATCAATATATCTATGTATCTAGACTAAATTAGATCAGATTAAATTAGATTAGATTAGATTACAATGGATTAGATTAGATTAACTTTATTGTCCACTATATGTAAATCTACATTAGATTACATTCATTTTATTTGCCACTATATTGATATCAATATACTTGTGTATCTAGACTAAATTAGATTAAATTAAATTAGATTAGATTAGATTAGATTAGATTAATTTAACCCTTAAAAATGACATACTGTTACATACTAGTATAACATACTAAGGCTTATTTTTCAGTGAGGGACTGAGTTATTCTTAGGTTGTGGCAGCATGTAGTAAAACTTTGGACCCACCGGTGAGTCCTGGCCAGTTAAGAGGTCAATGTCTAGGTCTAGATTAGATTACATTACATTAACCTTTATTGTGTGCTTATATTTTTACAGACAGAACATAAAGTTTACTGTTATTAATGTTTCATATCAAATATTATTAATACTATTATTTATTTTAACAGGAAACTAACTTACAAATAGAGAGACTGAAAGAGAGTCTGATGTTACATATGCACACATACAAATGTTTCATTTGTGAAAATAATATTATTATTGTTTCTGTTTTTACATCAATATGAAGCTGATCACTTGAAATACACTATGTGATTCATTGCTTTGGCAACAGCTAGTTATAATGTATGGGAACAACACTATTAGAGTTTGAGAGAGAGAGGGATAGAGAGAGAGGGAGAGAGAGAGAGAGAGAGACAGTAAGGGTATATTATGCATACTCACGCTCTCTCTCTCAGTGCAGATGGGCAATTTGACTGTAGTGGAATTGAAACTCTCCCAAATGCTTACTTAAGCTCCAATTTCATATTAATCACAGCTTTCGATCCTACTTATCCATCATTCATTCCCCCATCTCTCCCTCTCTTTCTCGCCCTCTCTCTCTCTGTGTCTCTCTCTCTCTCTCTCTCTCTCAGGTTTTTGAGTCAGAACAGAATCTCGTCTCTGAAAGCAGGAATTTTCACTGACCTCAACAGTCTGGAGTGGCTGTGAGTACATAATGCACACACACCCATCTATTTATTTATTTATTTATTCATTCATTCATTCTTTCAGTGTGTATATATATATATATATTATAATATATAATATATATTATTATAATATTATGACCACCTCCTTGTTTCTGTGCTCACTGTCCATTTTATCAGCTCCACTTACTATATAGGTGCACTTTGTAGTTCTACAGTTACAGACTGTAGTCCATCTGTTTCTCTGATACTTTGTTAGCCCCCTTTTACCCTGTTCTTCAGTGGTCAGGACCCCCATGGACCCTCGCAGAGCAGGTACTATTTGGGTGGTGGATCATTCTCAGCACTGCAGTAACACTGACGTGGTGGTGGTGTTAGTGTGTGTTGCACTGGTACGAGTGGATCAGACACAGCAGTGTTGCTGGATTTTTTAAAAACTGTGTCCACTCACTGTCCACTCTGACACTCCTAACTTGTCAGTCCATCTTGTAGATGTAAAGTCAGGGATGATAGCTCATCTGCTGCTGCACAGTTTGTGTTGGTCATCCTCTAGTCCTTCATCAGTGGTCACAGGACGCTGCCCACAGGACGCTGCCCACAGGACGCTGCCCACAGGACGCTGTTGGCTGGATATTTTTGGTTGGTGGACTATTCTCAGTCCAGCAGTGACACTGAGGTCTTTAAAAACTCCAGCAGCACTGCTGTGTCTGATCCACTCAGACCAGCGCAACACACACTAACACACCACCACCACATCAGTGTTACTGCAGTGCTGAGAATGATCCACCACCCAAACAGTACCTGCTCTGTGAGGGTCCATGGGGGTCCTGACCACTGAAGAACAGGGTAAAAGGGGGATAACAAAGCGTAGAAACAAGGAGGTGGTCTTCATGTTATGCCTGATCGGTTTTGATATCGCTGCTGCCGCCCTCTAAAGGCGTCATTAACAAACATCAAATAAACAAACGTCACTCACCGCCGCCCTCTGAAGGAGTTATGGCGTTTATGCATTTTTGTCTTTATAAGACACTTGATGTGTTTCAACAAATGTAACCCTTTGTTTTATTTACAAACATGTGACTCAATGCAATAAATAAAAATGCACCCACCTGACATTGTGTTTGCTGTGGTGTAAACAAATGATTGTGAAAACAAACAACAACAGAAAATCACAGCTGTCAGCTTAAATAAATGTGATGATAATGACAGGTGGAGTTTGAAGTAGCTGAATTCACTTATTAGGGCCGTCTGGATGCGTCTGGCTTGTGTTCATACAGACACAGACAGAGACAGCGAGACGATGGATAAAGAGATGTTTATGTCAATCATGCTGTTGGAGCTGATTGGACTTTGCCTGTTTGGAGTCAAGAGCCAATTTTCTCTCTCTTGTCCTGTTTCTCTCTCTCTCCCTGTCTCTGCTGATTGTTTCTCGCTCTGTTAGCCATGGCAGAGATGTTGTGTCTCTTCAGGGATCATATTGGCTCCTTTAGTTATTTCGGCTTTTTCTTGTTCATTTTTTTTTTTTTTTGAGCACAATTGCAGAAAATTACACACTGTGCCTCCGTCGGCGTTGCTGGGAATTTGATAACCACTATAAAATCTAATTTTTGTGCTTTTCAAGAACCGAACTACATCATATGCTTCTCCAGGGAATCCTCTTTAAACCTCACGCTGAAACTCACTTTTAAAGAACAAATAATGTCCAGTAAAAAAGACTATCGACAGAGGGGATCCCTCAGAGTCTTCCAGGCCTTTAGAGGAAACCTAATGATTTCTGAAAACTGAAAAATGGACGTCTGTAATTGTTATTCAGTGAAATCAGGCTCGTATTTAAACTCTGCAAGTATTACAGCTCTACTGTTGTTCCAATCCAAAGTTTTGGACGGAAACAAAAGGGTTAAATTCTTGAAACACTAAGCAGAAAATGGGCCAATCAGGAGTTGTTTGTCTCTGTGGTATCTAGGTAGACATAGCTAAACAAGCTCTCCTATTGGTTAGGACTTCAGGAGCTGAAGAGAAGTCCTAACACAACAGATTAACTGTCAGCACAATCACGCAGTGACAGAGGAGTTAACCAATCACGCTTTGTTTCCAGTAGATGTAAGAAAAATGTCTCTCTATACCTTCTGGAAGTTCTAGATAAATTGTGAATATGAGTGGCAGCCCAATCAGTGGGTCGTTGGAAATGGAAAACAGCGGCAGCAGCTTTTTACCAGAGTTCACTACTGAAAGTGGAGTAAATTTGAACACAACCGAACAAACATTTCAGTCGCTTGCTATCATTCATGATATCATGATAATAAAATATATATTTACATATAAGTTTTTTATTTTTTTGCTAGACTTTTTCTCATTTTTTTATTCCATTTTGATTCAGATGTTTTTGCTTTACGCAGCTACTTTGTATGTTTTATGGAGCACAACAATAAAATTTGTTTTCTCCTTTGGAGACGGGGTAAAAATTCAGAATAGACAAGAAGAACTGGACACCTGACCTCCTCTTGATCCTCACATAACAGCACCATCTGGAACAGGCCTACAGCCCAGCTTAGCAGCTTAGCATCTTAGCATTATAAACTGGACTCAACAGTATTTAGTGACTGTAAACTGAACTCCAGCATAAGTTCAGTGAGGGTGAAGCAGATTTTTACCAGCTTTCTGTGAAGCTTGTCAAGCCACACAACTGTAGAGTGGAAATAACGTTTGTGGGCGGAGCCTGGAGAGTGTAATCATGTGGCGAATCACTGCTACGTCACATCAGTAATCCAGGTGGAGAAAGTCAGTAGTACTGCGAGGTACCATGTAGTAATTCAGAGAGTTATTCAACTAAGACCTAGAATACACATATATTCACAGGCCAATAACCTTCTGTCACATATAACCATATATATATAACCTCATATATAACCATAAACTCACACCAGCCACACATTTTACTGCAGGGTTTAATTAAAAAGCATTCAGTCTATAAAGGTGTTTCACAGAGGTGGGAACAAGTCGCAAGTCTTGATACTCAAGTCCTGAGTCAAGATAGTCGAGTCTCGATTCAAGTCCTGAGTCAGTACAGGTGAGTCTCGAGTCAATAGTCCTGATCTTTGAGTCCTAAACAAGTCAGTCTGCATTCTTCAGCTAATTTAAAGCCAAACACTGAATAGTAGTAACAGTACTGTAGCCTTTACATGACAGCAGGTTAGCAGCTTATGGCTGTATATTATTATTATTATTATTATTATTATTATTGTTTTACCCTTCCCACTAAAATACTAAATCCATGGTACACAGATAACCATGACAGGCAAACTGGTATACGCAGAGTAGTGAAACTACACATGAAAAGAATTTTAAAAGTACTACTGAACTTTTTTTGGAATTTTTGGAAACACTAGTTCAGCCAACTAAAACCAACAGCTAGTTTGAATTGAATTTAGATGACAACAGAAACCAAAATGACCAAACTGGACAAATTTTACAGAAAAGACAGCAAAATGATGACGAACGTATGAAGCTGTGTGACCTTTTATTCACCAACTTCTTATTGGAATTTGCCGTTCCACCTTAAATGGTGCAGCAGTTACGTTCCGGAGGCTCACTGCTGCACCATTTAAGGTGGAACGGCAAATTCCAATCAGAAGTTAGTGAATAAAAAGTCTATTTTAGCCTTGTGGTGAATGTTGCGCTTGTTTTACCTGCAGAAGCTGTTAAAGTCGGTCAAACAGAGACGCCGTGTTTCTTTTGTTGGTCAGTCCGCCTGGTGAGTTTCTCCAGTAAGAGTGGAGTTGTTGATGCGTTGCTTGTTTCCAGCTTATGGAGGCGAATTTGAGCTCTATCGCTGCTCTTGTCTTCTGAAATAAAATAAATCAAGCATAAGAACAGAAACAGACATCTGACCATGTTGCTGTTTATTCAGTTTACAGCAGGAAACGAATTTATTCACATGAAAAAATCAGCTATATCTGCAGTCAGACTCTCCACGTTTCTTCTGCTTTGAGAGTCGTTTCTAATCATGACACTCAAGTCCGAGTCAGAGTCCAAGCCGGAGTCACTGGTACTGAAGTCAAAGTCGGGTCCCCAATAATTCTACTGTTTCTCATTATGACACTTGTAAGAATATTTTAAGATGATTCACCTTATTTCTGGACATTTTTACTTATTTCTATGAAACAATGCATAAGACAAGTAAACAATCTTCCTTTAAAATAAGTACAAACATCTAAAAATAAGTGTAATAATCTTACAGTATTCTTCCAACCGTCTCAGAATGAGAAATATTAGATATAATGACTACGTTTAAGATGTTCTCACTTGCTAAGATACATTATTTGCTGTGTATATCTGGTTAATTGTTTCTACCTTCTTTAATAGCAACTGAAACTAATTATAATAAACATAATTTTCCAATTAGTAGTCTTTTAGGTCATTTTAGGTGACTCTAAAGCGTCCACTTTGGTTAACTAGCCTCCTCGCTTGCTAGTTAGCTCAATTATTTGGCTGATAACAATGCACTGTACTGTCTGTGTGTACAGAGTCAAGTTGCTTTATTTAATTACTCTCCTAGAAAAACCAGCATAGACTAGCATTGACCATCACCAGCAAAGCCAGCATATGTTGTGTGTTTTGGATGCTGGTATGCTGGTCAACCAACATGACCATGCTGGGGTGACCAGCTACACCAGAACCAGACCAGAACTACCGGCAGAGACCAGCTTAGAAATAAAACGTTTGCTTATCTGTGCGTTTTTTTCAGCGAGATAGTTATTTATTTTTTTGTGAAATGTGAAAATATGAGCTAAAACACTGTTTCTGTAGAGGCGGGCGTAAATGCTAATAGCATTATCTTCCTATCTAGCTAATTTTGCCGATGTCATTAAAAAAAAAAAAAAGACACACCAAAACACAGTTCTGCTTTACCTTCTGGTGCTCTTATTGGTGATGTAATAATAATGTAAGAATAATAAAGAATTCATTAAATTGTCGTTTCGGCGTGTCGTGATCCTCAGTGGAGTTAATACTGCTAAAAGCAGCTCTACCTGCTTTGGACAGCTGGAATAAAGGAAAAGCATGAATAAAATTCATTACATACTGAGCTACATTTGACATTATATGTTAACGTCATGGCCGACGCTCGGGCTGTTCTGTTTGTGTTTACTGTAAATTGTGGCGTAAATTGAGCTGCTCGGAGGCGAATTATTCACCCAGAGGAACTGCTGGCCTTCATGTTTACAAATATCCCGATTTGGTCCGGCAGGAAGGTGTTTATCCTGCAGACAGGAGCTCTGCGGCTGCTGATATTCACTCTTCTAAGACTCACACTGTGAAGGCATGCGATTTCATTTGGTGTGTGTTTATGTTTATGTTTTTTTACAGGATCCTGGACGAGAACAGAATCTCTTCTCTGCGTCAGAAGTCTTTTGAGGGCCTGAAGTCTTTATTCTTCCTGTGAGTGCCTTATTCTCCACCAACCTCTGCACACCGAACGCATCAAACTCAACAAACTCAAACCCGGCTCTGTGTGTGTGTGTGTGTGTGTGTTTGTAGGTCTCTGTTAAACAATTCGGTGGAACAGATGCCCAAGACGTCGCTCTGCTATGAGATGCCGCGCCTCAACTGGCTGTGAGTGATAACACTGAGTCACATTTTTAATGAGGAGCAGACCAACCAACAGTCCGAAGTTACGCTAAATGTATTCAAAGTTATTCAGAGATTTTCTTTTCTTCTTTAAACTTATGATTTTGAAGGGTTTTATACCTGAAAAAATATAGTGGCTGATATATATATATATATATATATATATATGTAGTCCATCTGTTTCTCTGTATACTTTGTTACCCTGTCCTTCAATGGTCAGGACCCCCACAGAGCAGGTAGCAGGACGCTGCCCACAGGACGCTGTTGGCTGGATGTTTTTGGTTGGTGGACTATTCTCAGTCCAGCAGCGACACTGAAGTGTTTAAAAACTCCAGCAGCACTGCTGTGTCTGATCCACTCATACCAGTGCAACACACACTAACACACCACCACCACGTCAGTGTTACTGCAGTGCTGAAAATGATCCACCACCCAAATAGTACCTGCTCTGTGGGGGTCCATGGGAGTCCTGACCACTGAAGAACAGGGTAACAAAGTATGCAGAGTAACAGATGGACTACAGTCTGTAACTGTAGAACTACACAGTGAAACTATATGGTCAGTGGAGCTGAAAAGATGGACAATGAGTGGAGAAATAAGGGGGGTCTGAGAGCATATTAAAAATCTGGGAAATTTTTTATTAAAACCTCAAAACAACCAGAACATTTTAGCATTTTAAAAAATTTGAAACAAAAGAAATTATGATGATTCAAATGAAGAAGAAATGTTCAAAATTTCTGCACTTTTTCCAGCTCACCATTCAAATTTCAGCAAATTTGTGAAATTGACCATGTTGAGGTCTTTATGCTAAAAGGTCAGACTGTATTTAGTCTGATCTCTTCCAGTGAAGCTCATGGTCAGATGACTTTCAGGTGGATTAGGTCTGTTGATCAGAGACTTTTGCACACCACCAAATACTAACAAACCCTGAAATTCATGTTAAAATTTCAGCGACTCTACTTTTCACTCAAATTGTTATGCTGGTAGATCACGTTGTTTACCAGCTCGGGCTACTATGTTGCCGTGGTAACAAAGAATGATCTGGCTGTTGTAAACTTGGGTAACATGGACAATTTTTTTCAATATGGTTTTTCAAAATATCTGCTTAATTCAGTAGTCAAGATGTAAACAGAGTCGTTCAGAGTGGTCTGGTGTGAAACGCTCTGTTTTAGAGAAACTTACAGAGTCAGAACTGTTCACAGTGGTGCTGATAGGAACCAGACGTCCACCTCTAAAAGCTCCCTCACAGACAGTTACTACATGAAATGGTTATGAATTCACTGCCTGATGACTGAGACACTGTTTTATTTTTTGATCTAAAATCACTTTAATCAATTAATTAAATCAATTCATGGTGGAGGGATACAAGAAGGGTGTTGTGAGGCAAAATAGTCCCCAAAGAAAACTTATTATTTTCAGATTTTCCACTATTTTCCATCATCAACATTCCATATAAACTCAGAAGACTCGTGTAGGTTCACTGGTGGTTCTGCATAAGAAAAAAAATGTCTATATTTGTGTTGTACTCATGGCGACCCCTGGTTCCTATCACCACCACTGTAAACACATCTGAATCATTTCACACCAAACCACTCTGAATCTCTCTGTTTACATCTCAAACACTGAATTATTTTAAATTTGGGAAAATCGGTGGAATTTCCATTTTAACTGCAGAATTTTTTAACATTTTTAAATTAAAATATGGAAAAAGTGTTTTATAATTTGTTCTCGAGAATCAAATGTAACTATATATGAGGTAAAATCATGCAGTGTATCATTAAATCAAGGATACTTATATTTAACAGTAGTTAGTTTGATAATTCCATTAATTTCTTAATTGCGAGGCACTGTATATTTAAATGAATCCACAAAAGCAGATTTAACTAACTATCTAAATTAGAGTAATAGCTGAGTAAGTTGTAGCTAAATTGCAGTCAGTGTGAAGCGTCTATGCTGCGTCCAGTTTGTGTTTGAATGTTTCCTTTTGCACACAATGCTCTGTTTGTGCTTTTAACATTGTAATTGTCAGTCTGAGCTGATTTAATAGAACTTACGTTGAAGAATCAGACACAGTGTCTGGAGACTGAAGCCAATTTAACTGTCAGATGGAAAATGTAGCCACAGAAATTGAAATAAATGTTTTGTGGGCTCAAAGGTACAAACTGATGCCTTATGAGGTTGGTAGTTTGAGACCCCCGTCTGCAGGCAATTGAATACCTTTTAAATAACATTTTAAGTGTCATTAAGGAGTTGAACACAGTGTTTCCACTATACATGTTTTGCAGTGTAGGCCCGCCATGGCAAATTTATTGTCACCGCTGTTTAGAAAATGTTCTGAAGTCACAATTACAAACTCTGCAGAGGGCTTTTAATTTGAAAAGACAGATACAGGAAGTGGAGACATGTGGCAACACCCAACCTACTGTTCCTACATCTATGCGCCCGACAAAGGAGAAAGAAAAATAGATTAAACTAGCTAACATTAAGATTTTACAGTTTACAATAACATTTATAGTGTAGCGTTATTCTCAACTGATCTTCATGGTCAACCAATTATTATTATTATTATTGTTAATAATAGTAGTTATTAGTAGTAGTAATACAGGGTGATTCAAAAAGATTAATCCGATTTCAAAGCACCATATTTTTACAATCGTGAGGTGCCGAGGAACCAATCACAATCCAACTGAAAGAGGGGGTCATAGAGTTTCTGACTGTCAGTGGAAGATGGCTCCCTTCAGTCTGAGAGGAGATGAGACCCCTGAGCAGAAAGCGTTCTGCGTTCTCCACTTCAATAAGAGTGAATCCGTCATAACTGTGCAGTGTGATTTTCGTGGGCAGTGAAGCTCCAACAGCTCAGAGCGTTCGTCGCTGGTTCCACAACACTGGATGATCCCCGAAATCGCACTGAAAGAGCCGTGAGTGCAGCGACACCCGACAGCCTCAATCCAGTATGGGATGAGTTTGACTATGATGTTGATGTTGTCTGTACAGCTGGAGGAGGTTCATACTGAGACCTTGTACAATTACATAATAAACTTTATGCTCATTTAAACCATTTACAGTTTACTGCATTGATCTGTAATGATTTACAAGAGAAATAAATCATTTTGAAATCGGATGAATCTTTTTGAATCACCCTGTATATCGTGAAATAAGGGCCCAGCTAACCTAACATTAACGTTAGCAAACTCAGTGACTCAAAGTACCGTTAATGTTACTTCAATAGATGTCAGTAAAATAACTGCCAAATGACGTTATTTATTTATTTATTTTTTGCTGAGAACAATCCTAGAGGAATCACTGGAAGACTAGCATTATCGACTTTGTCAGACGTTCCGGTGCAACTTCCTCAGAGTAAACTCAGATTGCCGTGACCTTGTGAGTTTATGAGGACCGTCCAGTCGCTGCAGTTGCAGAAGTTCTGCTGAGAAAGTGTGACAAGGCACCTTCTGTGGGAAAATCTTGTAAAAACTTGCCGTTAAGGCACAGGGCTGGGGCTGTGTTTTCATTTCAGTAAAATATCATTAGCCTTAAGAATACGGGGTGGATAATTAATCACCTGTTCAAATTTTAATTACACTCATTTTTCTTTCACATTATTTTTTGATAGTACTATGTTTTGTATGTGTGTTCACAGGGATTTGGAAGGGAACCGGATTTCGTCATTGTGGTCGTCTAGTTTTAAAAACTGCTCCTCTCTCACTGTACTGTAAGTAATATGGATGCAAACATGCACAAAATGTTCTAAAGATGATCTCCAAAATGACTAATGAGGTCCATTTATGGTGTTTGTGTAATTTTACATATAGCAAAAAATTAAACAGGTTGTTTTCGTAACTGCGCCTTTAAGACTTATATATGTAAATGAGCACTGTTCTGATTGGCTGCCTTCACTCAAAAAGCAGCCCAGACCAAAAATCTCAATGTGAGAGTTGGACTAAACTGCTGTAGGATGAATAGGTAGGACAAAACTCCTGCTGGCTGAATGGGTGGGGCTAAACTGCTGTACGGTGATGTTTTCCACAAGTAAATAAAATAAATAAGTAAGTGCATTTAAAAGCAATTGATTGGTTGACGAGTCAGGAAACACAGCCTCTGATCAGTCAACAAGCTGGGGACACAGCCACTGATTGGTCGACAAATCAGGTATGCAGCATCTGATTGGTCGACAAGTCATGAACACAGCCTCTGACTGGTTGACAAGTCAGGAACACAGCCTCTGTCTGGTTAGCAAGTCAGGAACATAGCCTCTGATTGGTTAACAAGTGAGGATCACAGCCTCTGATTGGTTGACAAGTCATGAACACAGCATCCAATTGGTTGACAAGCCAGGAACTCAGCCTCTGATTGGTCAACAAGTCAGGAACACAGCATCTGATTGGTCGCCAAGTCAGGAACACAGGCTCTGGCGAATATTTAAAATAATGTCATAAATCTGTTATGCATAGCAAATGTTTTCTACACAAACTGACCACATGCTAGTGTTTCCCACTCTAGTCCTGGTCAGTGCTGGTCGGTATTTTGTTCTGTTGGAGCTCCAGCTGAATCAGGTCATTAAGTGCTGTCAGACTAGATCACCTGACTCAGGTGTGCTGGATGCTGGAGCAGAAGAAAAATCTATAAAGTCCTGTAAGTACAACCCACTCCTGCCCCAGCACTGAGATGGATGACTACAGCAGTCAAACATTTGGACTCAAACGGGGTCTGTTTTTTATCAGTAGCTTCTAACAAAGATCAAATAAAGACAAAAACTTTACAGACTAGAACTACAAGCAGAGTTTTGCCAAGTATCCTAAACCCATCCTTCAGTACAGAAATAGGAGCCCACCGCACCCTGTGCCTATGACTGGGCCAGCAGTCAGTTTGAGCTAATCTTTTCAAGCATATTCCTACTTAACCCTCTCAGGTTGATGACGTCGTGTGCAACATCAAAGGACGTCACAGATAAAAGAATAAATATCTCAGGAAAGTTGCTAGAGACTTACTTTTATTTTGCCTGGAAGGGTTGTTTTGCTGACAAGTCAGTAACCCAGCCTCTGATTGGTTGACAAGTCAGGAACACAGCTTCTAAATGGTTGACAAGGCAGAAACACAGCATCTGATTGGTCGACAAGTTGGGGACACAGCGTCTGATTGGTCAACAAGTTGGGAACACAGCTTCTTTTTGGTCGACAAGTCAGTAACCCAGCCTCTGATTGGTCAACGAGTCAGGAACACAGCATCTGATTGGTCGACAAGTCAGGAACACAGTCTCTGTTTGGTCAACAAATCAGTAACCCAGCCTCTGATTGGTTGACAAGTCAGGAACACAGCTTGTGATTGGTCGAAAAGTCAGGAACACAGCTTCTGATCAGTTGACAAGTTGAGGACACAGCCTCTGATTGGTCAACAAGTCAGGAACACAATCTCTGTTTGGTCAACAAGTCAGGAACCCAGCCTCTGATTGGTTGACAAGTCAGGAACACAGCTTCTGATCAACTGACAAGTTGAGGACACAGCCTCTGATTGGTCAACAAGTCAGGAACACAATCTCTGTTTGGTCAACAAGTCAGGAACCCAGCCTCTGATTGGTCGACAAGTCAGGAACACAGCATCTGATCGACAAGTTGGGGACACAGCCTCTGATTGGTCAACGAGTCAGGAACACATCCTCAGATTGGTCAGCAAGTCAGGAACACAGTATCTAATTGGTTGAGAAGTCAGGAACCCGTCCTCTGATAGGTCGACAAGTTGGGGACACAGCCATGGATTGGTCGACAAGTCAGGAATACAGCCTCTGTGTGGTCGACAAGTCAGTAATACAGCCTCTAATTGGTCGACAAGTCAGGAACACAGCTTCTGATTGGTAGACAAGTCAGGAAAGCAGCCTCTGATTGGTCACCAGGTCAGGAACACAGCATCTGATTGGTTGACAAATCAGGAACACAGCCTCTGACTCGTCGACAGACTCGATTCAAGGCATCAGTTGATGGCTGATAGCCATGCTAACAACATCACTAACTCATTTCAACATGGAGAAATGGATAAATAACTACAGAAGACATTCAGTGTTGGATTTCTCATTATGGATTTATTTTACAGTCTCCAACAAGACTGCAGATCAAGGCTGGATTACAAAGGAAAAAATAAAAGCAATTCTCTAGCATGCAGCGGTCCTGAAATTTATTCTTTGATGTACACCATCCTTTGATGTCATGTATAACATTGTTGACCTGCACAGGTTAATTTGCATAAAGTTGCAAAAATCTTAACTCAGTCTGTTCCTAAATTCTGGGCACAAATCACCTGCTTCTGTGGGAACTGACTGATCGCTACAGTTAAAATGAACCCAGAGTCAGGCACCAGAATGTAACTTGTGATTTATAATTTGTAATTTTAATAAGAAGCTGCAAATAAGATAAGAAGCCTCATAGAAACTGAATTTTGTCTCCTTTTGGATCCACTCAGACTTAAATATGGATCCATGTAGACAAAAATAAAGTGCTAAAGTGAGAGGAGTGATCAGCGGTAAAGAAGAACAGGAGCTGAACCAACACAACAGAATGAAATTAAAAAAGAGAATTAGGAACTAAACGTCAGTGACTGAAATGGAACAAACAGATGGCCTTACTCACCGATGGACTTGAGTAAAATAAAAATATTATCATTTGACAAAAATTGTTAAGTAACACATTTTAATGGTGTCGGGTTACTGACTTTTTAATCAGGCTAAGCTAAATTACCGTGGCTTTTAGGCAAGATCCAAGATGTCATCACCACCAGCATCATCATCATCATCATCATCATCATTATCGTCTCTGTCCTCTATCCTGCTGTTACCCCAGGTGTTCACACTTGGCTGTGCTCCTCATCAAATCTTTGTGGCTCCGTTTTTGGATTTTGGGTTCAGAAAGACCAACTCAGCAGCAGGTTCACTGCCAAATCAGTTTAAAATGATTTTTGAAGGGCAAAGACTGAGTGCACCCCCACATACACAAGTTTATATATATTAGCAAGACATGGAGCCACTTTTCTCTCTCTCTCTATACACATACACACACCAACACACACACAATACATATATATATATATATATATATATGTCTTGAACTTTATTTAGCTGTCAAAAGTACAAAAATTGTTGTGACTATGCAACTTGTTTTTACTTGATTGTATTTTGTAAATATAAACAAATTCTTAATTTGGTGCCCGCTACATGCTCAAACCTAGTTGAAACAGAGCAAAATAGAATGAAAAGTTTAGAGCCTATTCATGTTTTGAAACATTCCACAGTAAGCAGGAATGTTTCAAAAGATGGAGAAATCTCAATCCGTGTAGGGCAAGGGCAGAAACCACTGTTGAATGTGTGTGACCTTCAAGCCCACAGATGGCATAGCATGAGAAACCGTCTTGCTACTGTGTTAAATAAGTGATAAGGTTTTTTTGAGAACTTCCGAAAAGCGTTATCACTTAACATAGTCTGCCGCTGCATCAAGGATCAAACTCTATTACGCAAGGAGAAAGCCATACCTCAATTCTGTGCAGAAACGCCGCCAAGTTCTCTGGGCCCGAGCTCATCTCAGATTTTCTGAAAGACTGTGGAAATGTGTGCTGTGGTCAGATGAGTCCATGTTTCAGCTTGTTTTTGGGAAAAATGGATGTCAGGTTCTCTATACCAAAGAGAAAATGGACCATCCAGACATCAGCAAAAGATGCAAAAGCGAACAATTGTTTCGAGGTGCATCAGCGCTCACGGCATGGATGACTTACATATGTATGAAGGTATCATTGACACGGAGGCATATATTGGAATTTTAGAGAGACATATGCAGCCATCAAGACAACGTCTTTTCCCAAGATGTCCATGGTTATTTCAGCAAGACAATGCCAGGTCTCATTCTGCAAGTGTTACAACAGCTTGTGTCTCCTATTGAAAATGAATTGCGCACCATGAAGGGGAGAATCAGACAATAATAACTACGAACTGTTGAGCAGCTGAAGTCTTGTGTCAGCAAGAATGGGCGAAAATCCACTTGCAGAACTGCGACAATTTGTATGCTCAATTCCCAAACGATTAAAAAGTGTAAGTAAACGGAAAAGTGACATAACACAGTGGTAACCCAAATTTTTTTGAGTGTATTGCTGGCATCAAATTCTAAATTGGTGCATATTTTCAAAATACAATTAAGTTGGTCGGTGACAACATTGGAAATCTTTTCTTTGTACTTTTGTAAGTTAAATAAAGTTTCAAGAGAATTAACAAATCACATTCTTGCTTTTATTGCATTTTAGAAAATGTCCCAGCTTTTGCAGAAATGGGGTTTGTGTATAATTTCTCCATCACAGGCCAAGTTACATATTTAGGTGCTGAAAACTTCAGCAGCAAACTATATAAAAGAAATAACATTCTTTACAAATATCAATGCACAGTTATTTTATATTTGATAAAAAAAAATAAAAATGAGAAAGTAATTGTAGCATATGCAAAAGCTTAGACACTCTAGGTCACATGTGTCAAAGCTCCAGTCCTTGGGGGCCAAAACACTGCGTACTTCAGCACACTGCATTAAACACACCTGATTCAGCTCATCAGCTACTTAGCAAGGCTAATGAACTGTATTCAGAGCGGTAGATGAGGGTAAACACTGATCTCAGCAGCACTTTGGCCCGGAAGGTCCCCAGATTGACATGCCTGCCCTAGGTAGATATTACAGCATGTAAATGCTTTTT